CATCTTACTTGGAAACGTATTCCTCTTGGTACGAGCTCACCGCGAAGCGTCTGTAGAATAACGAAAATTCGGGGTCAATGGGGACCTGTGGAAGGAATGTGCGCTGAGGGATGAGGGCGTCTTCGTCCGCGGAAGGAGCCTGATTGTCTTGTTCGGGGCGTTCGGGTATGACACGTTCTCCAGAGTCGGGTCTTCGCCTCTTCCGAGCGGGGAGAACCAGAGACCGCTCGAGCTCGGTATCCTTCAAGGGTCTCTTGCGAGTACCAGAGGGGCGAGCCATCGTTGAAGTGGACGCAGCGGGCAGATGAGCAGAACGGTCCAGCCTTCGCGAACGAGTGTGATAGCGCAGACCGAGAGCCTCGCGCATAGCGCGCTTGTCGGCGCTGTCCATGACCTTAGATCTCGGTGCAGAAGCGGTAGTAGATGCAGCAGGGGGAGATGACTTTTCAGCAGTGGCAGCGCGTACGCGTACGGCGGGCGAGCCTTGGACAGAACAGGCGGGAGCACAGGGAGAGGTGGGCATCGACGAGAGCGCAGAAAGAGCGGGCGAGAGCAGTTCGGAGAGAGATGCGGATGGACAGTCTGATTCGAGGGATGTCCTCCGGTCTTGGGCAGCCGTGTACGCGGCGAGAGACTGGATCTTGCTTGCAGGTGTGGCCACATAGGAGTTATGTCCGCTACTAGGTGTGGCTGGCTTGCGGGTTGCACTGCGAGAGAGCGAGCGGACGCCATAACGGTGGACCGGAGATACCGAGGAGCCGACGGCTGCCCAGAGCGCGCTAGGAGAAGAGAAGAGGGCCTGCAGCGGGGTGGAGGGAGACGAGCACGAGTTTGAGGCAAAGCCAGAGAGCTGACTGGACGGGAAACCGAGAGCAAAGGGAGGTGTCGAGACCGCTTGCAGCGAGTCCTTGTACGGAGAGATGAGGTCGTTCCGCGAGGCCTCGTAGAGGTAGGGGTCAGAGTCCCAGTCCACGAAGGAGTTCCGCAGGCCGGCAGTCTGGAACATGCCTGGTGAATAGCTGTACGCAGTCAAGGGCATACTGGGTCTTGGGTTGGCGCAGGTCGCGTTGAAGGAGCTGTATGAGACGCCGTTTTGAGCCATGTTCGCGAGAGAATCGGCGGCTATATGCGCGTCGTTTCAGCCCTCAACGCGTCCTCTGTGCAATCAAAGCCAAGGAAAAGCAGAAGGATACCTTTGGGACGCCTAGGAGGGAGCAGGACGCGACGGGGAGATGGTGGTGGCTTGGAAGGAAGAGGCGCGTTGCGCGTTCCGCGCCTGATGCAGCCGCGCGCCCCCGATCACCAGGCTGGACAGTGACACGGACATTGCGCGCGACCTCGAACACCGCACTGAGCGTGCATGACACCGCATTGATTGCGGCCTGCCCATTCCGTCTCCCTGCAAGTCTCTCTCCTGCTCTCTCCCCGTCCTCCACACTCGCCCTTGTCGCTATGGACCAATGGACAAAGCTTCAGGCTGGACTTTCCGGCCTCAACATCGGCCAGTCCGCCAACAAGTTCGCAAAGGGCTTTAACACCACCGTCCAGGCGACCAAGGAGCGCATGGGCCAGGTCGCTGCGGACGACATCACCGAGCTCCCGCAAGGTCACCAGCATCTCGCCAGTTCGCGCACACCGATCGCTGATTCCACCTTGCACCCACAGAGTACAAAGACCTCGAGGCGCGGGTCGACAACCTCCGCCAAATCCACTACGCGCTGCTGAAGTACGTCCGTCCCGCGCGCCGCGCTCCTTCCACCAACACATGACCTGCCACACAGAGTAACGAAGGTCTACGAGAACGAGACGTACGACTACCCCACCCAGATCCAGGAGAGCATCACCGAGCTCGGGACGTCCATCGGCCAGGGGCTCACCAACTTCGCCGCCCACAACCTCAAGGGCGTGCCCGTCGCCGCCCCCGCCCCCGTCACGCCCCCCGCCGCACAGCACAAGACCCTCCCGCACGCCATCGGCCGCGCCGCCACGACCGCCGCGCAGACGCTCCAGGTGAGCCCCGCGGCCGGCGAGGAGAAGCTCCACACCGCGCTCGGCGCGTACGCCGGCGCATGGGAGAAGATCGCGGATGCGCGCGTGCAGCAAGACGAGTCGATCCGCGCGCAGTTCCTGCAGCCCTGGCAGACGACGCTCTCCACGAGTATCGCGGTCGCGATGAAGGCCCGCCAGGCCGTCCGCGGCAGCCGGCTCGAGCTTGACGCCGCGAAGCAGGTGTAAGTGCCCGGTGCTCTCAGGCGCGCGGGCGAGCGCGAAATGGACGTTAATTGACGTGTGTCCGCTAGGTTGAAGACTACGGGGCCGTCGAGACAAGAGGCTGCTCGGCTCGAAGTCGAGAACGCGGAGGATGACCTTGTCCAGAAGACCGAAGTCGCTATCACGCTGATGAAGGCGGTCCTCGACAACGTACGTTGCGCTTACCTCCTCCTACATTTTATGCGCCGCTGACCCTCGTGACCAGCCTGAACCACTGAAGGACCTCCACGAGCTCGCCAAGGCACAGCTCATCTACTACGCAACCGCCGCCGAGGCGCTCTCAACCGTCCAGGGTGAGCTCGAGGAGCTCAGCGTTGCTGCCGAAGGCGAGTACAGGTGCGTGTGTCCTCCGCGTCGCCGCTGCACACGCATGTACTGACTATCCGCTGCTCTGCAGGAAGTCGCGCGACCACTGATTCAGCAACGAACTGCGGATGCCTTCACGTTCACGATATTTATACCTGACTGCTCTGTTGTCTCATCTACCCGTCCTCCGTGTATGCTGCCCTGACAGACAATCTACCATTTTGCTCTCTGATGCACTGGCCCCGGGCCTCGCCGCGCTTGTCCTCATTCGGATGCGTGGCGAGTGGTGGTTCCTGGGTGTTATCTACCCTTCAGCGGTGCACGGTCAAGTTGTCAAATGTTGTCGGGACTGAATAAACATGGCAGCAATGAGGTCCAGGAGAAGATTTCAGTCGTCATTTGCAAGCCGGCAAACATAATCTGAAGAATCAATGTCGACGTGCAATGCCATTACTACATATCACGGAACAACGAATGTGATCAGCGATATACAAAGTAGTACTTGAGTTATATGAGAAGTAGAGTAATCACATCCAAGTCCGAAAGCCCATCGTCATTAAGTAAGAAACGGGAAGTCAAGTCCAAAAATGTTCGTCACTCATAGTCCTTGCGAATCGTCCTTCATGCCTGGACAAGGTGCACAGGCTGCTTCGTGCAGCTCTCGTACGTGTACGCGCCACCGTTGTCGCTCGACGCGCTGTACACCAAGACCCACGCCAGGCTCGGGGTCTGGCACACCGAGAACGAGTTCCCGTCGCCGTTCACCGTGAGCGTCGCGTTCCCACCCGCGTCAGACTGTCCCGCCAAAATCACCCGTCAGCTCGAGCCCCACACCCCACCGCAGAGCACTCACCACAGCGCAGTAGGGCGTCTGGCCCGCGCCCGCATTCGCCGAGCCGTTGTTCGTCACCGCGAACTCGACGATCGACCCCGCCGAGACGGGCATGTCGCTCCCGACGAGCCCCGTGTCCGGCGAGCTCGGCGTCGGGATGAGCGCGCCCTTCTCGAGCGTCCAGCCGGAGAAGTCGCCCGACGCGGTCTGGAAGATCTCCTGAGAAATCGAGAGCGGGTGAGCACCCTGCAGTCGCTGGGAGAGCGGATTGCCTGCCTCACCTTCAACCACCAGAGGCCGTTCGAGTCGCCGCTGACGAGCGCGAGCGGCGCGCCGGTGTACGTAGGGTCGTTCGTGACCGACGGGTTGATGACCGTCAATTTGAAGTTGTAGTCGAGCGAGCTGGTCGGGCCTACGCCGAGGGCGGTGCAGGGGTCCTGGCGGGCGTTCAGTACGGCGGGCATGGCGAGGGCACTGGCGGCGAGGGCGACGGGCAAGACGGTGAATGCGAACATGACGGTCAAAACTTGAAAGGGTTGGAAAGTGTATGAAAGAAGAGGCTTTGGTCGAGGTGAAAGTGTTGGAGATCGTTGACGATGCGAAATCCGAGGCCGCAGTCGAGCTGTATTTATGCCTACAAAGACTCGGGATACGCGACGAATGCGATGACGCATTGCGCACCGTGTACCCTTCCGTCGCGGCGAGCAACAGCCATGAAGCCCACCGGGGGAGTAGCCAGCACCGCTACGGGGCATGCTGCCCGTACATGCGGGCAGGCGGCAGGTCTTGGCAGAATGTTTGCCTGGGGATTACGTGTCGCTCGCTCTGAAACCATTCAACGCACAGCACTAGTCCAGCTTCCCGCTGCCCATTCCTTCCTACATGGAGGCCTGCTCGCGCTACTCACCTGCCCGCGGTGACCAATAAGTACCAGCCACGAACGGTGCAGCTCACAGACTCAGAGAGACCAATGTGGCGAGCTCTTGGTTGCACAGCATGCATTCCAAATCAAAATGCAGTGCCAATATGTCGGTACATGAGCGAGGCGTTGGAACAGATATGCGCCTACGTACCCTCCGATGTTTCAGAAATACACAGGCATGCAGTGGAATACTCACTGACGACGTTCGGCGACCCATTCCTACAGGGAGGCCGCATACGCTAGCACGCTAAGCGTATCCAGAGGTTCACTCTGTCCTACTACTCCTAGTTGACTGCTCGGACAGTTATCCAGGCTTGAGTCGGCCGCAGGCGAGACCGTCCTTGAAGGCTATCTAGGCTTGCGATTGGGGTATTTTTACTTCTCGAGGAGCCCCCAGGCTCAGAAGCGGCAGATCTCACTCACGACTATGGAGTTGCTGACTCTGGGGATGGACGAAATGGTGTGACTGGCATAGCATATAAGGGGACAGGTCATAGTGGGCGAAAGCCACCATGTAGCGTCGGCGCTTGTCAGTAGACAGTACGCATTCGCGATAACGTGACCGTGTCGACGCGCGTCGCTAATAGTCAGCTACAGACAAGACAAACTGGGATCGAAGGTGCTAGGATCCCGGTCGCCACTCGCATCTAGCTATGACTGGAACAGAGTCTACACGGTCTTTGCCCCAATCTCGCCCTCGCCAGCATCCTCCGCGTCTTCGACCTTCTCTGGCTCCGGTGAAGCCGTGGCCGCCGGTGCGGGCGAGGTGTGGACCGGTTTGCGCACCGCCAAACCGCCGGCGCACCCAAACCAGCGGCCTTTCGGGCAGTGGGGCCCGCGGAGGAGGAGGATCAGGCCCTGCACGCCTGTCAGCGCGAGCGCCATGCCGTAGCACGCGCGCCAGCCGTAGCGCAGGAACACCGTCGTGCTCGCGGACGTCCCGATCATCTGCCCGATGAACAGCTGCCAGCGCGGGGCACGCGTCAGCCGGGGTGCGGGCAGACGCGAGTCGGAGGGGGAGAACGCACCGAGACGCTCATGACGGCGTTGATGCGTGAGCGCGCACGCGGGTCGACCCTGCGCGGTGTCAGCGCGGGCCGGGAGAGGGGCAGACGCACGGAGGAGAGAGGGGGCTCACGCGAAGGCCATGTTGACGAGGGAGACGGCGGTCGTCTGGCGGAAGACGTCGAGCCCTAGCGTCGCGATTATGACCGGTGCGATGTTCAGGCCCGCACCGATGACCATGACGGCCTGGAAGACGAGCAGCGCGCCATCCGCCGCGACCGCGCCCCACCACGGGTAGATGAAGTCAAGGATGCGGCCGAGGAACGGGCCGAGCAGGACACCGAGCATGCCTAGCAAGCCGAATAGGCCGATATCCAGCCTGGGTACGCACTGTTATCAGCCTCAGAGAACACTGGGTACGGAGTGGGCTTACGAGGAATAGTGGAAGGGCGCATCGAGAAGCAGGAAGGTGAGCGTCACCCAGAAGTTGGTGAAGCATATGTTGCTGACGATCATACAGAGCGCACACTGGATTAGGAGTGGGTGCGTAACAAGGAGCTTTGCCATGGACCAGAGGATGCCGGCGTACGAGAGCCCAAGGTTTTTGGGCGGCACATTCGGGATGATGAGGTATGCGACGGCGAGCACGGCGAACTGGAGCCCGGTCGCGAGCCAGTACACGGCGCGGTACGTGACGAAGTTGGTGATGACACCGGAGAGGACACGCGCGAAGAGGACGCCAAGCATCAGGGCAGCCCAGACGATTGCGGTTGCGCCTGCCTTGCGGTCAATGGGCGCGAGGTCGGCGGCAAGCGGGATGAGGATCTGCGGGACACAACTGGTGAAGCCGACAAGGAAGGTAATCACTTCGAACACGACAAGTGAGCGAGTGATCGCAAGTCCGATGGTGAGGGACGCGGAGATGAGCACGAGCAGGAGGATGAGTTGCCGCCGCTGAACCATGTCACCGAGCGGCGTGACCAGGAGGAGCCCGCCGGCATAACTGAAGCGCGTCAGCTCTGCCGTGCAACTTGGACACTGTAAATTGAGTGCGTACCCTGCCTAATATGACTGTCAGTATACGTGTCACTGGCACACGATACAGCGTGAACATACCTGCACCAACGTGGGGATACTGCAGCGGAATGAAGTCAGTCAAATTTGCTGACACCAAGAGTAACACTGACTTTGATACTCTGTCTTCAGAAATGCCGAACGAACTCGCAAGATTTCCTATCTACCGTTATTTGGTGCAAAGAGTAAACGGACAGCGTAACCTACCGAGGATAGGTTGGCAGTAATAGAGGTTCGATACCGCTGAGAAATAACACGTCGCATCGGAGTGAAGGTAGGTCAGCGGCGGACGTACTGAAGCAGGCGAAGATGCCGAACATGGCATTGAGGAAGAGGCCAAAGTGTAGTGGCTTGTCTTCTTGGTGGCGGAGCCAGATTGGCACGGGGAGCACGCCAAAGTCTCTCTGGTGAGTGGGCCCCATGGCGTTGGGTGCATTTGGAGCAGTCGCCATCGCTAACTTGAAGTGCAAGTTGAACGTGCTCGGTGGGTGTGCGCTCGAAACGAGGGTGCGCGGACAGTGTGCTAGCGGACGAAGGCATCACGCAGGACGCCTTAAGTTTCTTTGGAAAGAGCTGCTGAGTAAGGATCGTCAAGGGCGGCGCTGCTGAGGAAGCACAGAGCGTTCCTCAAACTCAAGTCGTCGGACACAACAGCAAGCATCGCCGCAGGATGCGGACTCGGACACACCATCCTTGGAGATCGAGATCGAGTGGCGCCGAGGGCGCTTCTGAAAGCGACTTACTGTATTTGGACCAATGCTTCTAGAGTTCATCTGCAGTCGCCTCGGAAGTGGGGCTGAGCCAAGTTTGCTGTTGGACTGAAGGTGCTCAGCACCTGAGACACCCGGAATCTCCGACTTCGACACTCGGTCAGTCGAGCATTACAGTAAGTGACCCCAATCTTACATGTGGTGCCTTTACTATGCCAGTTGCGGAGGTTGGCCAGCAATCCTCGAAATGACCGTGGTGGCCGAGATCTCGGGCCGATGCAGTAACCAGCGAGGCGAATTAAATATTGAAACTCGAGTCCATCTGTCTTCAGCTTACATTTGTTTCTCAGTTTTTCTTCCGACAGTCTCGGTGAGTAAAATTGCCAATTACCCAGGTCAATACATGACATTTTGGCACCAGGTCGCACCCTAGTATTCGCACACTTGTTAAGTGACCACTTAAGTCGAACAGTCCTGTCATCGACGTTGAATTTTGAATTGATCATCGTGGCTCAGATTGGGGGCGAAAGACGAAATGGTACCACCGTCTCTACGCCCGCGGCGCCCGGCGAACGTTCAACATGTTGACCTTCTCGAGCGCATCCACCCTAGGCGACTCGGAGCCTGGCTTGAATTCCACCTTTGATGGCAGTGTCCCCGCGCACCTGCATCGCGCCGCACGCATCTGGTCGCTCGAGGCGCTTCAGGCGTGCACCCGAGTATCGCCATGAGGCTCTCTGCGATGTCCGATCGGCGGTCGCGTGGGCCCGGGCCGATTACAAGGAGACCTCATGCGACCTTTTTCACCTACCTCAACTCTTTTGGAACAGTCACCTCATTAACACTCGAGCGATGTCGCTTCCGCCAGGCCGAGGTTATACCGAATATCGTTGGCGCTCTGCCTAGTCTTAGAAAACTCGCCCTCCTCTCGATTACGGTTCATTCTGCACCTCAGGCTCTCAATAGTATAGGGGAGAGCCTCCTGCCCTCTGCAAAGCGGAAGCTCCGATCACTGATGCTTTTCGGGTGTGTCAACAGAGACTACGCCTCAGGGACTGCTCACATCGAGTTGTTTCACCAAAGCGTGCTCAATGCCCTGGCCTTGTACACGAACGTTAACGACCTGTCGCTGGACATGACCCAATTCTTCTCGCTCTCACATCTCTTGCAGTTCCTCCGTGCCTTCCCCGACATCGAATACATATACTGTCGGGACGCCAGAATGGGAGCTTCCGTCTGACGAAGCCATATTCAAGACAGTGGTCAAGGATATGAAGGCATTTACCAATGTCACTCTTGTTTGGGTGTCTTCAGCCTTTGCGACACTATTCTTCAAGCTGTTCGCGAAGCAGTGCTGCGAGCTGCGGATTCTTTATATCGGTCTCGTGGACGTGCCCGGACCCGAATTCCAAGCTGCCATCGACAAGGTGCTGCAACAATCTGGGGCAGTTCTTCACACATTCAGATGCGAATACAAACATCGAGAACAAGTGAGTTCCGTGTATACCTACGTGCTATAGGCTACATACTAATGTGTCACAGCGTACCAAGCTGGGTATTAGTACTCCCTCGCTCGTGTACAACACCGCACTAGAACATCTAGATGTGACCATCACTGTAGCGTCGTTACTGCGCACATCACGGATTTACAAGACACTCCTATCTCTGTTCACGCAGCTTAGGAGCCCGTGTTTGAAACACATGTCCATGCAATTCTTCTTACAAAAGCCTGGCGACGTGCGGCCTGGTCACTGTCGACCTCGACACAGATATGGAGACCGCTTCCTCGGACATCGCCATCTTCCACGCTGCGATCTGTCACGAGATATTTTCTAGCCTACTCCCTGGGGGCATAACCCTGATATTCAGGCGTCTCAATAGCCCCTCCTTGGGTACGAGACCGTTCGATGCCGAGCCAACACCCTGTGAACTGTCCATGGCCATCCAATCCTTCGTGGTCCCCCTCTTCATCCCATGGCTATCCCGTGGGGTTGTGAGGATTCAACTTCCGGATGAATCACTCGTCGTGGATTCACCACGCCCAGAGAGCGAAACTCCGGAGGTTCAGTCGGACAACTCCTCCGAGCGCGCTGTCGATGCCGTCGTTTTGCCCTGCGATCATGGATATCATCTAGATACTCAGTGTCATTGCGTAGAGGTGAGGCTCACCATTATGCAGACGGTCAAATTCTTATTGTGTATGTGTATCATGTATAGACATCAGCCGTGCTATGATTTCGTCACAGTGAGAACTTGTCGGGCACGCAAAGCTCAGACAGGGCGATACAGGCCCGAACGAGCCTCGCTCGTAATCGCGTTATTGCCAGAGCTCGACCAGGATGGATACGCTACGCGGTTTATTCCACTCGACTCCTTGTTGTCCACTTCTATGCTTCCATTTCGCGAGTTGCTATCACTATCGTACACTTGTGAGTCATACTTCCTACTGTACCATGCATCGCATGCCTGGACTCTGTACCCATTTTGCGAGGAAACCATACTCGTCTGCGTGTCGCACGCACCTTTGCCCCACGCCCGCGCGTTCCATTCAAGTAATCGCTTACGAGTGGCCATACACTGCGATCGGCTTGTACGCCTCCTCGAGGTACTTGATGTCGTCCGGAGTCAGCTCGACGTCCAGCGCGTCTGTCCGTCAAGCACTGTCAGCACCTCAAAGACGCAGACGCAAATGGGGACTGGGGCGCACCGATGAGCTCCTCGAGGTTCTTGAGGCTCGTCGTGCCCACGATGGGCGCCGTCACATCTGCAACGCAGAACGCGCGTTCACATCAACACCACGAACGCGCCGCCCGACTCCACGGGCACTCACCGTCCTTCGCCAAGCTCCACGCAAGCGCAACCTGGGCCATGCTCACCCCCTTCTTGCCCGCGAGTTCCTCCACCCTGCATACCCGCATCAACAAGGACACCGGCATCAGCGAGGAACAGCATGTTTGCGGCGGAGCAACGTACCGGGTGACGATGTCGGCGGTGCCCGCCCACGTCTTGTACGGGCCCGTGAAGCTGCAGGACGGCCAGATGAGCACGAGCGACTGCGGGAAGAGGAAGCGGCACTGACGCGTCGGTCTCTCCGCGCTTCGTCTGCGCGGCGAGTGGGCGAGTGAGGATGCCGCGGCCGAGGGGCGACCACGGGATCGCGCCGACGCCGAACATCTGCCCGCAGACTGTCAGACCGAAGGGACGCAGGAGAGCCGGCGCGGGGAGACGGCACCTTGAGTGTGGGGAACATCTCGCGCTCTTCCTCGCGGTAGACGAGGCTGTGGTGGTTCTGCATGGAGATGAACGGTGTGAGCTTGTGCTGGATGGCGTAGTCTGTCGGCGCGAGTACGGTGTCAGCGTCGAGATGTGTTCTTTTTGAAAGCAAGGCGGGGGTGCGCACTCTGCATGGCGTGGACTATGTTTCGTCAGCATCGCGGGGTGAGGTGCCGTCAGAACGGATACATACACTGGTAGGCATGGCACGAGCTCATGCCAATGTATCGGGCGTACCCGGCCTGCACGACGTCGTGGAGGGCTTGCATCTGCGGATGGTCAGAGTGGGTTCGGATCCGCTGATACGGCATCCACTAACCGTTTCCTCGATCGGCGTATCGTAGTCGAAACGATGGCCTGGTAGGAGCATATGTCAACATCAAAGAAACCAAGCGGTTTGCCGCGCCTCGAGACGTACACTGGAGTACGTCGACGTAGTCGAGCTGCAGACGCTCGAGGCTCTTCTTGATGGAGTCAAAGATATGCTGGAAGCACACCATGTCACTATATGCACGCCATCTAAGTAAGCCCGAACGATGAATCGCACCTTGCGGTTCAGACCCTTCTGGTTGATGATGCCGTGGTCCGCCGCAGTCGCTAGCGTCACGTCCATGCCGAATTTTGGTGCGATTGGGAACCACACCTACGCATCGTCAGCGGAGCGACAGGCTTGTGAGTGGGATGGGCTGACCTTGGTGAGAATGACGAGCTCCTCGCGGGGCAGGTTCAGCTCCTTGATAGCCTTGCCGAGCATGACCTCGGAGCAGCCGTTCGAGTACATCTTGAGAGCGAGTCCGCGTCAGCCGTAGGTATGCGCGAGATGCGCAAGGAATGGACGTACATTTGCCGTATCGAAGGTCTGGATGCCGTGGTCGTAGCTGTCGTCCGCGTTCGTCGAAGGGCGCGATGCAGCAGGTCAAGTGAAGGGCTCACGCGTATTTTATGTGCTTGCTGACCTCCTCCTGATCGTCAATGACCCATTCTCTCCAGCCCTTGTGGCCGTACGACATACATCCCAGGATGATCTTCGACACCTTCAGGCCAGACTTGCCCAGGCGGACTGCCGACATCGGACGCGTCAGAAACTGAGACGGAAGATGCAAACAGAGAACAGGATGCTCACCATATGGCATGGACCTCTTTGCGACAGACATCTCGATGGTAGACGGGGAGTACTACGCGCAGGATAGTGGGTGGAGGAGATGAAGGTTGAGGTCAACTGCTAATAAGTATAAGTGCTGTCAATGTATATATGCCGAGAAGGGTGTGTGCGTCATGGTGACTACTAAGTGGGAACGAGGAACGACGAGTCGGAGGAGAGTGGGGGCCAGCATATTGATCATGTGTACTGCGCATCCCAGCCGAAGTGAACCTTGTACGCTTCGGATAATCCATTTCTTGCCTTGCTACCGACGGTGGGTAGATACAGACTGCTATACGATGCACCAGAAAGGCACTCTCTGAAACAAGTTACAAAGTCTCCTCCAGCTTACAATCCTCGAAAATCCATTGAGGGCTCCGGTGGCGCCCACGTGACCGACACCGTCCGTAGATCTTTCAAACTGCAACTTGAAGACTCCGATGGTCACTTCTCGAGAGTACTGAGTAGGTTCCGACACTTCCTTGAACCTTCGCCGCCCACACTGCTGCAGCGATGAGTATCATGTATAAGTACTTCCTTTGTCCGGGTTTCTCTGACCGGGTATGTACTAGTAGAACTGACTGGGACGGCGTCGCCTTTCACCAGAGGAGGAGGAGGAGCGTTCATAGACATGCTCGACGCGCGGGACGCCACGCGCAAGTAGGCAAACTAAGTACACGGACAACTCCCTTACCCTCCCTTACCTACCTGCCGAGCGGGCGGCTCTTCTGCCAGTGGCACGGGCATTGAATATTGGATACTTATTGAGGCCGATGATGGGTGTGCTTGAAGTCAACGTGCATTTGGCATGACACTTCAAATGACCCCTGACTGTAACATGCCGTGTTCGGGCCATAGAGTTCCTCACTCAACTTTTGGGAGGTATGTGTAGTTGGTTCAGCCACAAAACATTCAGAGTTATATTGTTAGTAGCCGGCCGTAAGGTCTCCACAACCACGGAGTGTGGCAATAGACCGCATTTGGTAAAGCAAGTGGCGCCCAGTGACACAACATCGTTCCGAATCCCCTGCTCAATACATCTATTGCCCACAATTAATCTCTATCTAGAATATATGAGACCGATGAACACAATGCGTAGACTGAAGGATTTGTCTTAATCTTCAACACTGGCCAGTCCGATTCTTCATCCGAATTTGTCAGAGGCGACCCGACTATTGTTCTGCACACACATCAACAACCCGTCAGTTGGTACTTGTATCTGCAGATAGAGCACGCACAAAAAGCAGTCCAGGATGCCAAGGGCAGCCAATCGCGGCATCCTCTGGAGATGCACCCGTTTCCAAAACTTCTCCAACCTTTCTTGCACAGCAATGCTGAAATGCTCCGTAGGTCGCATCTTCAACTCGAGACGGATGCCCCTTGCGGGTATATTCGCGAATGCCGTGCTGGACAGGGCATCGTCGAGACACTTGAGATCATCCCGCCTGGACATAATGTGTGATTTGAGATTTGAAATACATGTGTTGACCACCTTCGGCCTCTTGTAGTAGCTGAAACAAATGTGCACTTGGGATATAGTGTGAGATGAGATTGAGGAGAGGATCTCGGCGATCGAGCTGTAATGCGGGCCTTCGGCCGCGGCGGAAAGCGGACAATCAATGTATAGCTCCATCAAGCTAGTTTGACGAGACAGGTCAATGCAGATGTCTACTAAAGAGTGGGCCACTAATTAGACGAGGTCTCATTGATGAAAGGTCGGATGCTTACAGTTGGTGTGACCCATATCGAGTTTCTCACGAATACCGAGTTCCGGTACATCAATCCGGACATCACAAAGACTCGGACCATAAGCGTCTAGCAGCTGCTGCCCTTGTTGAATGTGCCTTTCGCGAGTCGGAGAAGCATATGTCAACTTTCTAGCCAAAAGGATCGTGCTGAGCGTGGCCAAGGCATCGACTATCTCATCGGAAGAGTCGAACACAACGATCTCGCACTGGTTTTTATGAGGCAGTCTGGACGACGACATGACGCGCTGGTCGTCTAGACAGAAGACAGTGTGACAGGCGAGGTACCGGAGATGCGGAAGGGCCAACAGCAGAGAGGCAAATTGGGAGGCCGTTTCAAACGCCACAAAGCGAAGCTCGAGGCGCGTCATGTTGGGATACGCAGAGAGATGCCTGATGCTGCCCGCGTGTAGAGAGCGGGCTGTCCGGAAGTCGACGTCGACCAGCGTCAGTGATCGCAAGCTTGGGAGCTGTCGCGCGAGCATCATCGCGAACGTAGACAGGTGGTCTGCAGATGATTTGACGATGAAGACGTGTTCAATAGGGGCCTGCCGATCAGGATGCCGGCGCAGGTGTCTCGAAAGCGAAACGACGTGCTTGCGGGATGGCAACCAGACGTCCCTGTTGAGATGGAACAAGGCGCGGATACGCCAAACTCGGCATACGAATGCGCAGGCAACGAGCGTGGCTCGCCAGGACAATTGTGGTTGATCGGACACTGGCATGTCAGCGTCGTCTTGGGCTATCGATGTGTCGATCTCGGGAAACGAAGCTCGCGACGCTATGCAGTCGATGACCTCCTCGTATACTTCAATTGGAAGGCGTGACTTCGGTTGGACGTCGTGTTTGCTCCCCCTGTGCGTGGTACGGCTTGGTAGACCCATCATCGCACGGCGTCGTACGGAAGTAGCACCGCTGAACCAGAATGAGCTATACCAGCATAATTGATTTCCGTTCAAACTCACCTAGACATGACCGGTGGGGAGGACGGGTGGTTGGACTGTGCAGAGATCCTAGCAGAATGCGGGCTATAATATACAGGGAGACATCGAGAAGCATACCTTAAATGAAACTCAATTAGAGCACGGTGAACGCGTGTATATGGTTAATTGGTAATGAGACACTTGAAGCTGTATTTCACAGCTGCGGAGCTTCGTGCCCCTGCATCTGAGCACAACATCGAGCCGGTCCTACAACATCACTCGAGACTCGGAGATCAGTACTCAGTTGCCAGTGAAGCTGAAGTTTGAACGTACGGAACGAGCACCGGGAATCGCCGGGCGCCCATAATCCAGCGTCGACCTGCGCAGCATTCAATGGGGTATCCCCAAACCAGCTACTACATAGTAACAATCTGGACAGACAGACCAGCAGATAGGTGACAAACATGGAAAGAGGGTTCAGTCCTGTGAACGAGTATCCTCACATAGGCAATCCCTTGCCCTTCGTATGCGGCATACCCCTACGTGGACCGTCCCTGATGCCCGAGTCTTTGAATCCAAGACATCCCGCGTCCATGACGAGGCACCGTTCAATCCGATGTTCTGTGGATTCGTCACATCGTCAGTTGCGCTCGTAATGATGATACGCCACACAGATATTATACGCACAAGACGTAGTCGAAGATCCCGCGGGCAGCCGATCGCGGCATTCTCTCGGACAGTATATGGGACCAGTATTCCTCGTCTCTCTGAAGCGCAGTTACGTGCGCATGGCGCGGATCCGACATCCTGATTTCGAAACAGATCCCGCCCCTTGGGATGGAGGCGAAGTTCGGTCGTGACAAGATCTTGTCGATGAGCGGAAGGGCGTCGGTGTGTTTCATGTGATCAAGGAACGCCATCGCCCACTGATTCGACTTGTCGTTGAGTCTATGGTGGTTGAACCGGAAGTGGGCTTGAGAGAATACGCTGGATGTGATCGTGGAGAGGATAGCAGAGACCCTGGTGAAGTCCGGATATTCTTTGTAAGGTAATTGGACGGAGAGATTCACCAACAGCGATTGGCAAGAGAAGTCGATGCGTGATTCTGACGAAGAGGTGTCCATGTTAGCCAAGGAGCTAATGACCAAATGAACGAGGCTCACCATTTGGAGAGATAACCTCAACGTCACGAAGAGATGCACCATATGCATCGAGCAGCCACTGGCATTGCCTATTGGTGTTCGGCGCAGTCATCGACAACCAGTCATGGTGCAACAGCTTCTCCACTGTTGGCGCGATTGTGCTTAGCTTCGTCAGGACATCGACGAGCTCGTCGTCGGTATTGTACACGACCAGTTCGCGTACATGTCTGTGTGCCACGGAGTCGATGCTGGGGAATGGTACGATGAGCTGCCGCTGACGACAGCTTACATCAGTACAACTGATGTACTGGAGGTTCGGGAGGGCCGAGAGCAACGCTCTGAATTGCGACGCCATCGTAAACGCCACGTCACGAAGCCGGATCTGCGTTACGGAGGTATATACAGAGAGGTACTTGATACTCTCTGCATGTATTGATCCCGTCGTCCAGGCGGCACGGCAAAGGCGGAGGGTCCGTACGTTGGGTAGCTGCCTGGCGAGCCTCGCTATGAATGTCGAAAAGTGAGGGATCCCACCAAACGGTTCGAGACCATGCTGAGCCGGACCGCGGATGATGATATGCTTGATGGCTGTATGAAGCTCTGGGTCATGAACAAGGCGCTTGAAAAGGAACTCCACGCTGTCCCGGTTTGTCAGCCAGACCGACGAGTGCAAGTGGTACATGCTGCGGGTATGCCAGGCCTTGCAGACGAACGCACAGGCGATCAGCGCGAAACGCCATTCGGTCGCGTAATACATCCCGTAGTCCACGCCTCCGCCTCCGTGGGTTAATGCCCAGAAGGCAATGAGGTCAATGATCTCCTCGCAGACCTCGATAGGAATGCGGGCGAGCGGAAGAGGCTTCAAGTTGCGGTTGTGCAGCTCGTCGAGCATCGGTGCTTTACGTCGTCTTTGCGTCCTGCGACGGGGCACCAAGGTCTGTGATTAGGTGGAAGTGACGATGTACTTAACGGTGTGCACTCACAAGTCGTCAAAGATGAGTGCAGATGAGTCGGTCGAAGGTCGATGGACGGAATGTATGGATCCCACCCCGGAATATATAGTAGTGTCTGACGTTCACCCAGTCCTATCAAGCGTACAGCCTGTCAATGTCAGTCACTGGACCAGAGTAGACCGCAATGCTTCGAGTTGCGGTACAAACAGTGTCTTTTCAACACTGCGTGGGCCAGATACATCAGGTCGAACGTTGTTCGGTTCTGCCTGCCTTCGCGGCTTTGCTGCGGAGCAGACTGCCGGATGCGTTTGCGTAGGGTTCAGAGACAACTCTCAATTTGATGACAGCACCTCAAGACGCCCGTGAGGATTGTTGCAGCCATGTGTTCCATGTCCATCATCGAGTGTTGAGATGTGCCATTGGCAGAGCAACTGCAGTCTCTGACTCGGAGCTTGGGCACATACAAGATACTCGTGTTATGCGAGTCATCGGAACTTACTGCGCAGGGGTCATTGAAAGCGCTCTGAGAGGCTATAGTAGCACACACGCACCTCGTGGGTATTATTTCTGCCCGTCAAGTATCTCCATGCAATGGTCGCATCTGCGGGCTCAGTGCCACTACATCAGTATGGCTGTGGAAATTGGATCCGGACATCATTGGGAGTACTGTGAGCCCGTGGTGCCGCCTACCTGCAGCGACACTGTGTGGTCCGACGCAATTACATGCGATTCAACGAATGACAGCTGGTTCTTGTTCGTGAGATTGTACTCTTGGGTCCACTGTCAGGCCTCTTCGTAGGCAACCTTACCACTGGCACTGCCATTGTGGCAACGACTAGTCTCGAGTCCCTTGTTCTGCACTGCGCATCAGAGCCACACCATTCAATGAGGGCGTAAAGATGGATACCTGTGCTTGTGCTGCGGTGGACAGGTTATGAAATGACATACATAGCCACGTTGACCGACGAGTCAAGATCGGACGTGGCCGACCGATGGACTGTGCAAGCCTTCTGTGGTTTATGGTTATGTCTGAAAGCACAATCTAGACGGGGGTCGGGAAATGCAGGATCAGTAGAAGGGCGTCCATGACTCAGTCGCAAGAGACCGGCGAACGAAAAGAATAGGTCGTTTTTCGAGAACATTGAACGAAGGCCGAGGCACGAAATAGACATGCGGACAATAGCTGCGGCAGTACGAGTCATTTCAAAATCAAGCAACGGATCCAATTACGAATACAGCGCACGATGAACGAGTCAAGAGATGTATTTGCTGGTCCAAGCTCCGCGGATGGTCGGGATGATGTCTGCGTCAGCCTTCAACTTGCTTCTCCAGGTACTGCCGGATCATTGTCAAGACCTCGAGCTTCACTTTGGGTGCTATAGATGCTGGTGACCTCGCTGTTGACACGTTCTTGCTACTAGGATCGCACTGGACGTTACCTTCTGCTTGTGGCCGGAGTTGGGTGATAATCGTCTCCACCGACATTTTGTCCGCATTACGGGTCATTTCTAAACGGACTATGTTATATGTTGCGGCTGATATTTCCAAGCTGGAGATTACCTTTGCTCTTGTCTCGAAAGTCATCCAGCCATCCAGACTCGTTCAACTTCTGGGTGAGCACCCAGAATAGTCTGCAGGCGAGACACGTGATGATATGTGAATGTGGTTGGCAAAGTCTGCGCACCTGTCGTACTCTCCATGCTCGACCATTCGACGGAGGAGCTGAGGGTAGAGATCATTGCGTCCGTCGTTCCGCGCCATGGCCAGAGTGAAGCTACGAACAGGGCGCCTGCGGGAAATGTGATCGTACATGCAGACTTGCCAAATGCGGAAGCGACCTTTCTAACTTACGTGAAGTCGCCCGCTCACGCCTCCCGCTACGACGACGACGACGAAGACGGGCCATGTTTGCCAACTCCTGCAAGGCTGCATGGCGAAGAGCCCAGCGTATGGTGCGCTTTAACAGCACCGCCGCCGCTGCCACCAACACCACCTCTCCGTGAGTCGTACATCCAGACTCATTCCTGTGAGACACCGCTGACGACCTGCAGAACGGCGGTGTCCGCAGGCCAGGATCCAGCCGAGCGGGCATACTCATCGGTTGTTGTGCGTGGTCGCGCGCTCTTTGCGCCTCACTACCATCCCAAAACGCACGGCGTGCCCGTCGCACTTATCCACTTCCGCTCCTACCACCTCGACCTCCTTAACGAGTTCACGCACTTCAGCGCTCACGCCGCCGCCGCACTCGGTATACCCATATCTAAAACGGTCCCTCTTCCGACGAAGCGCACACTCTGGACGGTGATCCGCGGCCCTTTCGCGCACAAGAAATCACAGGAGAACTTCGAGCGTCGCACGCACAAGCGGCTCATCAAGGCGTGGGACGCGGACATGGAGGTCGTCGACCGCTGGGCGAAGTACCTCGAGGAGCATACCATGGCTGGCGTTGGTATCCGGGTCGTGCGGTGGCATCGAGCGCCGGTGAGCATCGGGCGAAAGCAGTTCGATGCGGTTATGGGCCAAATGCGGCTTGGAGGGCCGACGAGCTCAGATCAGGTCAAGGCGCTGGGAGAGAAGATTGTGCAGCAGGAGTTGGCGGCGGTGGAGGGTAGGGAACAAGTAGAGCCTCCAGAAAAGGCCTCGTAGACGGTATAATGTGAGTCGCGGGATAACTACCATATCATCGTAGCATCTGCTGTTTCTCTCATTTGATTCAAAACGTGCGCGAGCCAACTTTGCATCGGACTGCGGCCATACGACTCATCCAAGCTTTCCATGCTCAAGCGTGCAATCAAGAGCTCGCGATCTTTCCCGACTTACCAGGTTAACACTTTCGTTCAACCTCATGCCGACTCGCTTATGTCGAGATTTTGAGGTACAACGTAAACGTTTAAACCCTCGTGGTATTTCTTTGGCTCTATGCACTGAGGGCAGGCACTGAGTACTGCACTACTGTACCTCTGTGTACTGTAGAGACGGCCTCAGGGGGTGTGACACCCGCCACATGCCAGGAGGTTATTGACCGCGGCTTCGTGACGTGTGACAATCCAATATTTAGTGACAGCTGCCCAAAGCGGCGAATACGAGGGGTGCAGTCATAGACAGCCGAGTTGTGGCCAGTAGAACTGTACAGTAGCGAGATAATAAATCCTGTATTCTCGTCTGGATGAAACTCGTGCACAATCACTAGTCTACTGGGCAACAAACCATGAAAGATTCGGACACAATCAAGTCTACTGGGCCATCGGCAACACTCATATCGCGCATTGACCATCTCGCCGCATTGCTCGGCAACCTTCCTAAGGCTCTGCCCGAGAACCCAGTCGAATCGACCTACCACTTTGGCCTTGACCCTGAAGACGAGGCAGAGGAGGGAGTATGGTACGCCTTCAATCGCAACATGGAGGTGTCATTCGAGACCTACAAGGCAAAACCTGATGAGCCACTACGTTTTCGGGAGAGAGGGAAGCGGTGCAGTAACCTGATCACAGTGATGAAGCTTGTGGTGAAGAAGATGTCCGATTCCGATCGCGAATTCGTTAGGAAGACGTGGCTTGAACGTCTCATTGTGGCCGCAAAATTATCTGGTGCCGTAGTTCCAAAGAGGTGCGTCATTTCGATACAACATGGGGCAACAGGTACTTACATACAAATATACTGTACCAAAGACCGAAAGCATCCACGGGTAGCAAGCGGTCTAGCACTGCTACACATGCAGAACACAATGACATCAGCCATGCATTGCCCCGTAAAAAAGCAAGGCTCACCGTGGTAATTAGTGATGACGACGACTCAGATGTTCAGATCATTGAAGCTGTGGTACCGCCAAAGCCACCCCTACGAAATCCCATCGCAGACGAACCAGATGTTCCGAGTCCTGACTCTCCTCAGTATTCCAGCATCTCCGACTCTGTTGATGATGTCTCGTCTTCTGAGTCAACCGACACGGATGCTGGTTCAAGCCATCCTAGTAAGTCAGCCTTAGCCACGAGTCATAACAGCAGACTGTTGAACCGTATAGGCGCCCACCGGGCCGCCGGGTTCCACGGGCCGGATCACACTGCACGTGCTAGATCCGCACTTACCGCATAGAGCAAGTCATGCGTGGGAATGGACTATACAGTAGTATTAGTCAGCGTCTCTCAGATGTATATAAGACCCACCAGTAGCGTAGCTCTCACTCCAGTACTTCCAACACCGGAACTACTTGTGTACCTCAAGCTTAACAGCAACACCTTCAAGCAGGTAAGTTAGAGCGCAGTCCAACGGTGTGACCTAGTCTGCTGAACAGGTTATGAGCCCCGGTCGACGCCTGAGTACTGCGCCTTAACGGCTGCGACTCGGTGCGCACTGGCTTACCTGCGGCATCGCCCTCACGGGCTTGAAGCCAGGGGGAGACTATGCGCGGAAACGCTGCAGGTCTCAAGCGCGACTCACGTCGTTGCTAAACCCCATGAGGACACTGAGTCCATGTGTGTGGACAGCGCCTTTTGGCTGCAGTCCGTTGTGTGACAGAGCGCTGACGTCGCCTTCGTCAAGCAGCTCTTCAACGCTTCCCCCGTTCTACACAACTCTCACACAATGTCCAACACTCTCCTCAACATGGTCCCTGTCCTGGACGGCTCCAACTATGCCAAGTGGTCGGAGGCCATGAAGTCCTACCTCCAAAGCCAGGAAGTCTGGTTCATGATCGGACAGACTCTCGGTGAGCACCCGACGCTCGAGGAGGGCGGCAGGAACCGTCAGGAGGTCTTGCGTGGACCCAGGCGGACGAGAAGGCGCAAGGCATGATACGCCTGCGCCTCAGTCCCTCGGTCGTTCAGATCGTCAAAGACAACGACTCGGCGAAGGATCTCTGGGACATGCTGTCCACAATGTACAGCAAGCAGAACGCTGCCAACCTCTACGCGTCCTTCAGGACTGCGACAACTGTGCGCGTTCCTGCTGATCAGCACCCCGCTCCCTTCCTCGCCAAGATCATCGACGCAGTCGAGAGGCTCGAGGACAACGATATCAAGCTCCCCGACGCGCTTCTGGCCATGATGGCCCTGAATGCTTTACCGTCGCGGTACGACAACGTCGTGCAGGTCATGCTGCAAACGACGGACGTCAAGAAGCTCAAGATCTCGGATGTCCGGCACGCTGCCAACCTCGCCTTTGAGCAAGGCTCGGGCAAGAAGGCATCTTCTTCGCATGACGCGAAGAAGATATCGGCCGTCAAGCGAAAGCAAGGCGAGCCAAGCTTCCAGCAGCAGCAGCAGCGCCATGACGGCGGCAGCGGCAGCGGCGAGAAGGCCGACAAGGGCAAGGGCAAGCAGCGCGGTAAACGCAGCGGCAAGAAGACCCGTGCCCAGAAGGACGGCGGCAGCCACAGCAACAGCCACGACCACGCCCACATCGCCTCGCAGGCGTCTGTGGCTGGTCCCTCTACGTCCCACGTCGTGGACATCGCGCCTTCGGGCAGCAAAGTCCGCACCGTCGAAACGCGTGCGCCTGTGCAGAAGCGCCCTATGCGCAACTGCCAGCAATGGCTGCAACGCGCCCTCAAGTTGGCCGAAGAGGTCGACGTCTCTCCTACGGTCGAGCGCCTCAAAACGCTCACTCAAGTTGTCGACAACTCCGCGCAGATCGAGGACTACCTC